CAAGTTCTATTTTACTGTAGTATAAATAGGATGATTGATCAGTTAAGAGTTTCAGCTCCTTTGTAGATGCATTTTGCACATCAAAGTTAGGACATGTGAGACCTCCTTCATAAATGTTTTTTTCAGAGGAAATGTGCAGTGATTGCCCACAATAATGGGAAAATAACTTAGGTTTAACTGTTTGCTAATTGGGTACTTTGAGTTTTTCACTAAATAAATTTTATTGTAAAATGAGATTTTCGAGCTTTTCCAGTGAGGAGTGCTGCAGAACAAACCACAAGGGAGGAAAACCTCGTGTACAAAGAACCACGACTGGCATACTGCACGTGCAGTGCACCTTAGACAGAAAATGTCCACGAGGTATTTTTGCAGCGTTCCTCCATGTGAAACCTAAGCAAAGCTAACGGAGCTGTACGGTTTTACTCTGGCAAAAATTACTGTTGTTTGCTATGCAAATCTTATGATTGTAATTAAGCTAGGATTTGGACTGCTGTGTACACTGATCTTTGTTCCCTCTGTGCACGGGAGCTAATTCTCATGCTGCAAAACAGTGCAGCAAATGTCGAGCGCTGCTCAGCCAACGAGCGTTTTCTCTCAGGGTGTCTTTGCTCAAAGTGGATGTTTTAAAGGGAACAATTTACCTCTGCCTTCACAGGGCATGTAGACTGTGCTGCAGGCATCGTGTGGGCCACTGACGTGTTCAGGTACCGTAAAGTCTCGCTTGCAAGTAGAGTTTGGGGGAAACGCAGGAAGGACAGCCTGACAGGCATCTAGTTTTTAGCAAACTGTTTTTTAAAAGTGGTGTTCTGCCACTGATTGGTTCAGGAGCTGGTGGTATGTTCGAGCTATCACGATAGTGACTGCAGTTCCTAGTATGGCTATGTATAGCTCCCGTTATCTCTGCAGCCGGACTTTGTGTAACCGCAGCCAGTGGCTCCTTGCCCACGCTAATGAGCAATCCCCGAGGCTGGGCTTGTGCCTGTGGGGGTGGCACGGGTGCTCTGACGGGCGCTGCTGTTTTGGAAACTCGAGTTGTTTAACTGTGCTCAAGTCCAGCTTGCCTGAGCCGCCACGCCGGCTTGGCTACTGGGTTTGGGGGGCCTGCCTCCCTGCCTTGTGGCCCACCCC